TAGAAGAATATATAATGGAAGAAAAAGGAACATTTGTCTACTAGACAGAACATTTTGCGTGTGTACCCCTTTGCTCGCTCGCACCCAAGGCACCCAGCTGCCTAGGGTTTCTCGTGCCTCCCGCCGGCGCCGGCGCCACTTTACCTCGTCTTCTGTGGTTAGGACCATGAAGGCGTGGTAGATCTCGGTCCTTGCTGGCGGGATGGCTCTGTTTTTATGTGTTTTTTTAGTTTTATTAGGGTTTATGTTCTGTTTGGAGAGGCGAGACAGTGGCGACTCTCTGAAGATGGAACAAGGTTCTCCCGCCTAGTCCCTGTCCAGGTGGTGCTTCTAGCGTCATCAAAGGCTGAAGATGGAATAAGATTCTCCCTGCCTAGTCCCTGTCCCGGTGGTGCTTCTAGCGTCATCAGAGGGCGTGTGGAGGTTTGCCTTCGGCAGATCTCATCGAATTCGGTCTTAGGCGGCTGTCTTCGGTGGATCCACGTGGATCCGGTCTTCGTTCATTTTTGTTTATGTATTTACAAGTTGGTCACTTCTGATCTATGCGTCTCTTCATCGGCGGCGGTTGTTGTTCTGGTGCGCTGGTCCTATGGGGTCTAGTACGACGACTTCCTGACTATCTACTACAACAAGGTTTGTGTGGCGCCGATGAGGGAGAGCCTTCAGCTAGCTCCAGTGCTTGTAATCGTCGCTAGGTGGTCTATGAACCTGGATGCAATTTTTTACTTCTCGCGTTCTTTGTACTACTAACTTAACCGTGGATAAAAAAATCAAAAAATTTCCTCGCAAAAATAGAAGATTATAGGCAGATGGTGATAATTTGTTCATTAGTATACTGCCACATCATATGTTAAATAAAAATGGGAAGCCGGTAACAATGTTTGCCCAGCGCTAAAAATATAAATAACTATCAAATATAAATAAGTACACTTATGAGCGTTTACATGATTTGAGATGCATATATATGTTTAACGGATTACAGTATAAAGCATGCAGCCCCAGGACCAGAATAGCGGCAGTAGACGTGAGGCTCAGGCAAGCCACTTGCCAACGCCTTGGATGCAGAAGCGGAGACAATCTACAATGGTGCGTGGGTATACCATCCCATTAAGGACCGGACTCCATCTGCTTCCACCTGCAATATTGTACCCCTCAATCTGGTCACCACAGTCGTTTCCCAGGTAGATGGTATCAGCAGTGACAAAGGAGGGGAAGGCCTTGGCTGATACGGTAATAGCGCGCCACTTGCCCATGAACACGGCGCGCCCATCGAATCCCTTGGCTGGGAGCAGAAGCCCAGCTCTCAAATCGACTCTGTAAACCTCGTAATTCCTGTTATACTCACTATCCCGGCATGGCGTTCGGCGCACCAGCATCAACTCCCCGCCATTGTCCACCAGGTGAAGGCCGAGCGCCTTGAAAAAAAAAATGACTTGGTCCACTCAACGACCGCCTGGAGCCGTGGCGGCCGCTAATCCGAGCTGGTCGTCAGCACCATGACGCCCCTGTAGTCGGTGCAGTAGAAGCGTCCCGCAAAAGGCAAAGTCGAATACAAAGTTTCATTGTCGACCACGGTCCAACTCTCATCACCGGGCTTAGCGACGGCCAGCTTCATGGGATTTCGGAATCTGACTACCACCATGGAGGCGTCGGTAGCAAGGCCCACGACAGACGCCCTGATTAATTTTCCCATCTCGGGGCCACCCCTAGATCGATGCTGATCTGGCCTCAGGAGCGCGGTCATCGGGGGGAGATCGGTGAGCTGGTGCATGAGAGGGTTAAGCAGGCGGACGACCAGGGTGCGCTCGTGGAGCAGCAGCAGGAGGCCTTCAGGGGTGAGCGCGAGCAGCGTGTGCTCAGCGAGCTAGCTCTCGGAGGTCCATACGGATGCACTCACCCGTAGAAACGTTAAGGAAGCGATGGCGGCGGGGCCCGGCAAGTGCCTTGTCAAGCATGATCCACTGGCGGGGGAGGAAGCGACCGTCCAGGCCGCCGGTGCACGGGTCCGGCGAGCACCGCCGCCACGGCCGGCACACGGCGCGGAAGCGGACATAGTCAGCCACGTCGCTGGCGAGGCCAAGCTCGGCGATCAGGCCGGCTGGCCCGTCCCCGAGGCCTGCCCAGTCCCTTGCGCAGGTACGTGGGGGGTCGCAAGGGGGGCGCGTCTGCTTTGCGCGGCGCCGGCACGGGATCTTGGCTCGGGAATCCGCCATCCGACCGGCTGCCACCGTTTATTTGCGTGGAACTCCGGCCGATGGGATTGCTTTTCTAGGTAGCTCCCGGCTGAGCACATATGGATGGGGAGTCGTATTCGTATACGGTATGGTTTGGTCTCGTTCTCATCTGCCTTTAGATACTGCTGGATCGGAGATTACGTTACTAAACGAGAGATTACGTTACGAGCAAGGTTACGTTTGCTAAACGAGAGATTACGTTACGAGCAAGGTTAACATATGATAGGAAAACCTGCAACTACCAGCCCTTAGTCTTCAGGGAGGCCGACTCTGGCGCGCCATGGACGTGCGTGTGATGTTACGTGGGCAGCCTCCCCTTGTATATGTACTCCCTCGAGTTTTGTTTTGTCTGCATATATATTTTGTGAGAAGTCAAAATACCTCTACTTTGATCGAACGTATAGAAAAAATATTAACATTCATAATGCCAAAACAATAGTTTTAGATTCATTATGAACTGTAGTTTCCTAGTGTATATATTTGGCATTACAAGTGCTGATATTTTTTAATATAAATTTGGTCAAATTTTTCAAAATTTGACTTGACATAAATCTAATATGCAGAGTAAAAATGATCGGAGGGAGTACATGATATATAATTCAGATCAATACAATGCGTGGGAATTCAGTAATCTTCATGGCAACCAGAGCCCATGTCTACCGCTCCTGCCGGCATCGTCGGCACCTTATCCTGTTGCTTTTAAGGGCATCTCCAGCCGTGCCCCTAGGAAGGCCTCCCCAGGCGATTTTTTCGCGTCGGCGCCAAAAAAATGGCCCAGTCGCGCCTCAAGGAGCCCGATTTTCGCCGGCCTGGGCCGAAAACAGCGCCGGCGGACCCAGGCCGAACCCGGCGCGCTGGGGGGCGCCCGGGGGCGCCGGGGCGAACTGTTTTGGCGCGAAACAGCCGCGGGCCAGCCGCGTCAGCGACACGACGCCTCGTCTTCCCCCAACGGCCTCGGTTCCCGCGGGGAATCAATGCCAAGGCTGCCGCCGGTCAGCCTTACCATTGATTCCTCACGGGCGGCGCGTCACGGGACGGCGCGCCGACGCCTCTCCTCCCTCGCACGCGTACACACGGGTACGGCGCGGCTATATAGCCGGTGGCCTGCACTCGCCTGTGCCCACACCAGCCCCGCCCCTCGCCGCCGCCCAGCTCCTCCTCTCCCTACCTCTCCCGAGCGCCGCCGCCCAGCCCCTCCCTCTATCTCTCTACCTCTCCCGAGCCCGTCGCCATGGCGGAACGCTTCCCCGGAGACGAGGCGGCGGCCAACGGCTTCGGCCGCCGTTCGCTCCGCGAACAGGAGTCCTGGCTCCTGTTCCAGGCGAACATCCCGGCGCCGCCGGACATGCGCGCCGGGCCGACGGGGTGGAGGCTCAGCGCCGGGGGAGTGCCCATTCCCCCATTGCCCGACGCCGTGGCGAAGCCGAAGTACTTCGTCGAGGAAGTCGAGGTCGTGCGTGCCTCCCTCACCGACGCCCAACTCTCCCTTCCCCAGTACGCCGCCGACAACCACGCGGCTTGGGCGGCGTATTTCAAGCGCCGCCAGCAGCAGCGCTTGGCGTCCATCAACGGCGCGCCGGTGGTTGGCGGCCGGCAGAACAACGAGGGGCGCCACCTGTGGTGGGGCGTCCCCGGACGCACACTCGAGGGCGTGCTGACGTACCTCGAGGGCGGCAACGACCCGCCGTTGGCGTACCTGGCGAGGGAGGCCGCTCCGGCGTAGCATCGACGCGCCGGGCCATGGGCGCCAAGGAGGTTCGGGTCCTCCTCCTCTTCTTCCTCCTCCCGATCTTCATCGGACTCCTCCGGCACTCCGGCCCTGCTCGGCGTCAAGGCCGAGCCCGCGGCAGAGACGCCGCTCGGCCGGCGCACTCGCAGCGCCGGCATCGTCATCAACGAGGGCGGCCGGCGCGCCTACTCGTCGGCTCCTCCTCCGCGCTTCGTCAAGCCAAAGACGGAGCCGGGGCTCGCGCCGGTGAAGACGGAGCCGGGGCTCGCGCCGGTGAAGAAGGAGCCGGCCGCGCCAGTGACGACGGAGCTCGATGACGACGACGCGGCCCTGGAATGGGCGCGCAGGGACTCCATAGCGATGGAGAAGGAGCGCCTGGAGAAGGCGAAGGAGCGCCAACGCGCCGCCCCGCTTCGCTTCGCGGAGCGTCGACGCGGCCGCGATGAAGGCGGAGTCGTCGTCATCTGCAACAGCAACGACGACGACGATGATGCGCCGCCACCAGTCCGCCATGGCGACGCCGGACAGGGGTCCAGCAGGGGCGCCCGCGTCAAGGAGGAGAAGGCCGACGACGACGATGGCGGTGACGGCGGCGACTTCAGTCAGTTTTTCCTTTAGATTAGTTTATGTATATGTGCTATGTAATGAAAATCCGTGAACTTCGCCGAAATGTGCCGAAATTTATCGTGTTTGGCCGAATTTTATCGTGTTTAAGCCGAACTTCGCCGAACTTCTTTTATTTTAAAATGTGCCTGGGGCGGCCCTGGGGCCGACGGCTGGGGACCAACTCGCCCCCAGGCCCAATTTTTATGCCGGCTCACCCCCAGGCGGCGATTTTAGGCACCCCCTCGGGGGCCAATGGCTGGAGATGTCCTAACGGCACCAACTGCTTCAGCTGCCGGCAGCTCCCCTCCTTCTCTTCCCTCCGACACCCTCCCACAAAGCCCTATGCCTCGCGCCAACGTCAACCCTTCCCAGCATGATCCCCTCGATGATACCGCTGCCCTCCTCGTCTCCAAGTTCACCTCTGGTGGCGCTCACCCCCTCCCAAATCTCTCGGCGATTTTAACATCACCCGGTTCATCCCATACAAGCTTGATTCCACAACGAACAACTACTCTCGCTGGCGCCGCTGCATGCTGTTTTTCCTCAACCGTTTCCATGCACGCGATCACGTCGAGGAGGAGATTGATCTGGACGTTACCAATTGCGCCCGGTGGAGTGCAGACGTCGACATCGTCCTCTAGATACACACCGCCGTCTGCGACGACCTCGTCAACATCATCATGGACAACAACGAGTCCACTTGCACCGGCTGACACACCATCCGTCTGTTCTTTCTCAACAACCAGACGGCGCGGGTCATGTACCATGACGCAGCTCGCCGGAAAGCACCGCAAAACCTACTTCTGTCGTACCGCAGATCCGTCCGAGGTATCCTGTGGGCTGCTGCCGCTGGGATCTAGGCCGACAAAGAGAGGTCGACTCTGGGAATGCCCCGCCGCCGCAGTTCCCAGACCCCACGCAGGCGAAGGCCTCAGGCGGTGGCGAGACGAGGAGGAAGTTGGTCGAGACCTTTGGCGGCGCGATTGGATTGCCCCCGCGTCTCCTGAGCGGGGGCGGCCCGAGGGGGTGTTTCCGACCTCCTCTTCTTTGGCGCGCTCAAGATTAAAGCAACTTGCTCCGACGTGCCTACACAACTTTGTGGGTAGTCCTCACATCGCCGATGGGCGACTCCTTCACATGGATACCAAAATTCCAACTCATCATGGCAGAAAGGGCTACTACACATAGGGCTTTGTAGAGCGATCTATGAATCAATAACATAAGTCTATCCACAGGTCTCTCAGTTGAACACATCATCAAGTTCTTCAAGCTTTTGACCAGCCCACAAGAAGTGAGCCTTACTGAAGAGACCGACGACAAAATCATTTGGAAATTGGAAGCTCACTTCTTCTTTGGAATACTCGGCATCCTTGATCTACTTCACTCAACCTTTTTTTTGTCGGGCTCTCCGCTCAACTCGACGCTTCGATTACCACTCACATGAAGCCAGCGACATGGAACAGGTGGGCACTGCCGAAGCATTTTATTGTGTGGTTGATCTTTAAAGACCATGGCCGACTGGCAACAAAATAGTGGTTGACCGAATTATGGTTTATGCCAATTGTGCAAAAGGCAGCTTGAGTCAGAGGCACATCTTCTTTTCGAGTGTAGATGTACAACACACATTCGGAATGAGGTGAAGGCCTGGCTCGGGCCTATGTTGACATTGACGCTTGGAGAAACCTCACTATAGTCAAAGAATTGTGGCTATCCACGATCATTGTCAATGGGAATGCAAGGAAGGGCTTGGCAAATTTCAAATGAGAGCGGGGTCAAATTTCTTTTGAAGTGAGAAAACACTAGAGTTTTTACGATCGCTTCATCTATGCTAACCGTAAGATAAAGGCCGATGCCAAACTTTTTCGGGCTCGCGGGTTCTAAGAATTTGAGATATTTGATGTCGCGAGGTATGTATGTTACATGAAACCTTTATTCTACTTTTTGTGAACCCACTTATACGGGAAAGATCCATCGATGCACTTTGTATGGCGGTTGTGTGTGCAAAGTTCCCGTAATGGTATCGAAGATCAGATTAGAAGTACATATCATGGAAAGAAATGTAGAAAGTCCAAACCAGAAGTATGTACAATGGACGGAAAAGGAACATTTGTCTATACAAGACATCAATGATTGTAGACAAATGGTGATAATTTGTTCATTAGTATACTGCCACATCTTATATGTTAAATTAAAACGGAAAGCCAGTAACAACGTTTACTCAGCACTGCGTTTGGGAGCCAAAGTATTTTTGTAGTTTTTAAGGAGTACTGTGTTTTCTGAAAAAACCTTGGTATTCAATACTTTGAGTCGTTTGGATAAAAAAACACTATAGTTTAACAAACCGTGGTATCTCTAAAACTGTGGTATTTTTGTAGTATAAAAAAAAGGTCTGGACCTCTTTTTAAAAAACTGAGAAACGTTGACTGGGTTGTCTCTCTGTGTCCATGTTCTTTTGGCCATCGACGCATGTGACACCTAAAATCGATAGCTAGCCGATCGATCTATCTGGCTAGAGTGGCGCACATACACGTACAAATTACGACTTAGTGCCGGCTGACTGTCTTTGATTGATTACAAGAGATAACTCTATACATATCCTTCCTAGCATCTACTAGGAGAGAACATGCCCGTACAAAGCTGCATGCATACGGTGGCGATTAGCACAAGCTGACTGATGAGTGTAGCTGCGTATGCATGCAACAACGTAACAATCTGTGCAAACCAAAGAAAACTGAGAAAAGCTGCCACTTGCCAAACACCTTGGCGGTATTATCGAAACTGAGAAAATCTATGTTTTTCAGAAACTGGAGTATTTGTTGCCCATCTATTGAAATACTGAGGTTTTGAAATACTATGGTTTTGAAAAACGGTGTTGCCAAACTAGGCCTAACAAATATACTCCCTTGTTTGAGATGCATATGTTTAACGTGGTCTGATACACAGTGCATAGTAACTACTGATATACTCACAAAGCATGCAACTCCCGAACCAGAATCACAGCAGTAGACGTGAGGCTCAAGCAAGCCATCTGCCGACTACCTGGATGCAGAAGCGAAGACAATCCACAACACTAGGCGGGCATACCGACTCATCAAGTCCGAGACTGCATGTGCTTCCATCCGCAATATTGTACCCCTGAATCTGACCATCACAATCGTGTCCCAGGTTGCTTTTCTAGATGGCTCCGGGCCAGGTACGTACGAAGAGTTGTATTCGTATACGGTATGGTTTGGTCTCGTTCTCATTGTTCCCATCTGCCTTTAAATACTGCTAACCGCAAAAAAAAAGGCTTTAAATACTGCTGGAGGTGGCGATGTCTTTGCCTCCTGGCAACTATAACACACACATTTGCTCAGAGATCGAAACGATACACATTTTGGCAAACCAGACATTAGCTCACGGGCAAGGTTAACGCCTGATTATAAGGAAAAGATAACCAATGTTTCTTTGCAATAAGAGCAGGTCACTCACTACTGCAAGAGGCACCAAGGCCAACCATTTGCAACTCAAAATACCAAAAGGAATCCCACCAAGGCCAACGTTAGAACTTACTGCAGAAGTTCGAACTCGAGTGAATTCGCAGCCGTGGAGGTTCAACACGCAGTTCGCCCGTGGCAGATCGAGGTGATGTATAGGCCCTTCGCCCATTGCTCCTGAAATATTTTGGTGTTCCGAGGTTAGGTTCACGCAAGTAAACCAAGTGGGCATGCATAGCAATGAATGTGGCACTGGCGCCAGATTTTGAAATTCATCCAGTCAGCAAAACATGCAGGTGTACCTTCGTAGCCTTGCTGGGGAAATCAGAAGTCAGAAAAGTTTCATCCACTGGTTTCGTCTTGGACTCCTTGGCTATGCTCATGATAAAAGCGGTTTGGTCAGGCGTGGCTGCGCATGATGTTATTCTGTAACCGGCACCATATCGCTGATGGATTCCTTCACTTGGATACACAAAGTCTAACTCAACAGCCTGCAGGATATGCAACACAGATTCAGTTTCACATGACATGATCACATCGGGTCATTGACCTAATATGTACGAAAATTCAGACTCCGCACCACCCTAAACAATTACTGATCTTTGGTTCAAAAAAAAGGAAGCTGCACAGAGCACCAGTTCTCTAAGGTTAACTCTTAACTGAAGCCATTCTTGCAGCAGCATATGTTTGCAAGTAGATATTTCACATGCAAAGTTCAGACAGCTAGTTGTCCAGAAATACAGAATTTAAAGCCATTTTAATGAATGCTCATCACCGGTAAAATTATAACATACAAGGAACCATTAAAATAGTGAAAAGGATTATTCACAAATGATTTATCGCAAAGGAGTGCAAGCACATGTTTTGACCTGGTAGGAATAATCGGTGTTCCTTGACGTGACAACACCCCAACGGTTCCCAGCAGTACCCATACATGTTACATGAAAACCTTCTTTCCACTTTTTATTAATCCACTTATAAGGAAAAGATTCACTGACTTTGTATGACTGCTGTGTGTACGGAGTCCCTGTAATGGTATCAAAGATCAGATTCGAACTATACATGGAAAGAAAGGGACCAGCGAGACATCAAGGATGTAGACAGTAGACACAATTAGGATAAAGTCATGTCACATGTAAATATCGAATATAGAAAACTGGCAACTGTTAAGTTCCATGTACCAACCACTAGAATCCAAAAGTTCAGATCCGTCAATATGAAATTCAGACGAATACAACAAGCCAAGGCTCCGTTGAGAAAACCATTGAAGATACAGTAGGAAACTGGCAACTGTTGAGTTTCATATACCAACCACTAGAACCCAAAAGTTCAGATCCGTAAATATGAAATTCAGACGAATACGACAAGCCAAGGCTCCGTTGAAAAAACCAGTAAAAAAGAAATACCATCCAGAAGAACATTTACTCTTCGATCCACTGCAATCTAATGTGGTAATCTCTATTGCTCTAACACCACAAAAGTTGTGTGATCAAACATTTATGTGATGCATCGTATGAAAGCATACTACTTTGTCTCATACACATAGCAGTATCCTCTTCAAACATTTAATCTTCATAAAAGGGAGCAGTTTGAACAAATGAATAGTTGTCGACAGAGAGCAGGTAATTCACAAACCTTTGGACATCACAACCAATGAGCTTCCATTGGTTGCTCCAGCTATTGCTGTTATGTAAAAGTTCTTCTCCGACTGCTCCCTAATCCAATCCTACATACGAAGTTAGAAACAAGATAGTGTCAAGATTCTGGATTATCAAAATTCCAACTAGAGAGGACATACAAGGTACCACACCTTCTGTAGGAAATTTCGTGAAAGATTGAAAACTTGAGAAGAAAAGCCGGTCCCAGTATCCATGATGACAGTCCACACATTTTTTAAAGAAGCTATACAACTAATGAACACGCCATCTTCATAACCTTTTTGTATGTGCTGATGCAGCCTTGAATCAGCTATATTATAGTGGCATCTATCAAAGGCAGAAGAAATATCTTCACAGTTACATTAGTTAATACCATATTTGATTTAGGAAGGAGATAAGACATTGATCAATCACTATTGAAATAGGCACTAGGCAGGCCTCAAATGTCTCGAACTGAAGAACAAGCGAGCGTAGCCAGACAAATAGGAACTACTTAAGTTTAAAACATAATAAGTGAAAACCAAACCCTTTCATCACAAAAAACTAGCATGAATGGCTTAGTTACAGAAAAGCATAATAGTATAGTTTTGGACAGATACTTTTATAGGGATACCAAGTACAATTAAGGTCATGAATGTGGATAGCATCTAAAAGTGGAGTTCACACCAAGAGATATCACAAGTTTGCAGCATGAATCACCTCAATGTAGTTTTTTTGTTTCACCACATTCACCACAAGACATTAACTGTACTCCATATATTTTAAATAAAAATTAGAGGTATAGAGTCATATGCTCATACAATCCAACTATTTCGAGCTATCTAATGCTTGATGTCTGGTATTGAGAAAACGCCTGAGCATGCAAACAAAAAAAGTGAATACTGTTTCACTATTTTCATGTTTGAAAAGAATTACCGCTGCGTCATGTTCCGCCTAGCACTATAAATCGAAATCCATTGAGTTGCTGGGCTCCCCAACCGAACTTTTTCCATAGGCTGTTCATCTTCTTCAAGATTTACAACAATTCTTCCACGTTTATGTCCAACCTATAATTTGCACAGCAGAGGCATGGCCAAATATAATACAACCGAAATAAAATACAGAGCATGGATTCATGTTGTGGATAAAGCAGTACAAACCTCTAGACCTCCAGCGATCCTGATGGGTCTTGAAACAGGCCCGATAATCAGATCATCAAAGAGAGAAACAAGTTTTTCGTACTTTGGCTCTTCATCAAATTTCATAGTAGTAACCAACTCAAGAAAATGTTTGAATGGGGCTGGACAGAAGCTACACAGGACCTCTGGAGAAGTCTCCATTTTCTTCTTACAAACAAGAAAGCTCTTGTTATCTCCCTGCAGTAATAAGCCATCAACACAAAAGTAGGTTCCCGCAAAAAAAAACACTAAAGAAGGTTGAAGAGAGCAAGTAGAAAATATTAGTAAAGCACCGTCGACTCGTCGAGAACATTGAAGACTACCTGACAGCCTTGCCATGGCAAGCTTCCTCGTAATAAAAATATAAGGCTGTATGCTAGTGACTCCAAATCATCTCTCCTACTGCCCGTACGACCTAAATGGGCATGGACGCTAGCATATCTAATTGTTCCCCTGGGAAATGTCAAAAGTAAAGAAGTTAAATTTGTACCATAAGTTTGTACAGAAAAAGTAGTAAGAACAAACCTAAATATGTCTAGCCTCTGATCATACTGAACATGCATACTGGATGATCCTCTTTTCCATTTCCAGTTAGATGCTGAAAAAATTTAGTATCAAAAGAACCATGTGAAAAACGGTAGTGAGGCATGAAATGCATCAACATTTCCCTCTGTAAAGAAATATCAGAGCGTTTATATCACTACTTTAGTGTTCTAAATGCTCTTATATTTCTTTACGGAGGGAGTATAAAGTAAGCCAATTCCTCTGAGCAAAGTGCATAGTGCATTGAGAACATCAGACTGAATATCTTCATGTACAGATGAAACTACGGTGTGTAATTGCATACCTAAACCAAAATTAATGAGAAAAAGCTTCTTTTCTTGAGCAGATCCAGGCTGACCAAGCAAAAAGTTTTCAGGTTTTACATCACCATGTATAAAGCTGGCAATAATAAGAGGAACAGCAAGTGTTAACAACGCGGAATGAAAAAAAATACGGGAAATGCATCTCAAAAACATCAAATGGCTTCAAAGAACCCTTTGGAGTGAATCTTCTCAAGAATTGATATGGCGTCGATGGCAATACAAGCAACCTTTAGAACTGACATCCTGTTAGGGGTGTAGATACTTTCAGTAAGAAGTAAGGAGAACAAAGCAGAGGGAGTGAAGATTGATAAGATAAACTTACTCCTGTCCTGGTGAATGCCAAGCATTCCAGAGGCTAGGACCAAGCAGGTCCATTACCTGAAATTACGGAATGATGATTCAGTGAAAAGATCATAATGAGCTAAGAGGCCTTTCTGAATGCATATTTTTTTTCCGGAAAGTTAAACTCACAAGAATGTAGTAGTCTCCTTGGCAACCCTTGTAGTGTACCGATGGTATGCCATAACAACCATTGAGAGCCCTGCTAACATAAGGATAAAAATGCCATGCTCCACCAAGAATTATATAAACGAAAAAAATGGATGAATGTGTATAGTTCTTACTGATAGACTTGCCACTCATATGGGGGGTCACAGCTACCTTCCCTGCTTCTCCGATGCACAAATTTCAGTGCAACCTACACGGTATTGATGCAGGAAAGAGTTCTTTAGATGAAGGAGGATTTCGCTTAGCCTCTGCATTGACTGATGCACAAAGCAATGTAAATTAAAATGGAATACAGATAAGATATTGATGAATCACGAACAGATTTGGTGTCCATCTAAGGCAAGTAGATAAGAAAGAGATGAAACCTCGATTGCATTTCGACCCTTGTATCCTCCACTGGGCATACCTAATCGTCTGCCAACATAGACCTTACCACTCAACTTCTTACCAGTTATATATATTGGGGAGTTGCCTACTTCAACCTGCATCGAATAGTTTGATCATATACGAACTGTTATGGAAGTAAAACTCATGTATATAAACTGTTATTGCTAGATCAGTTACATGTCTAAGAGTAGCAGCATAGAACCGTTTTGGTGACAACTGAGGAAATCTGAACACATCTAGCTAGATCCACATCAGATCGCTTTGGGATTTTTTTTTCTCGCCTACGCATAGCTTTGGTCTTATATGATTTTGCTAGTTGTGGGCGTGTTTTTTGCGTGCGTGTGACTTGGTGTTGGCTGTGTGCATCCTAGCTATGCAGAGGCCGGGTGTATGCTCATTGTGTTATGTATCTTCTTGATGCTTCATTTTGAGCCAATAAAATTCACCCTTTGTCGAAAAACAATCTAGATAGATCCACAGGAAATTAGGAAGGCATACCCTCTCTGGCACTGGTGGGATTGCCGTGGCTTTGTCTATGGCGATAATTTCTGGGGGGTCGTTTCCACTAGGCTGCGAGGCTGCTTGGCTTTCACTTCGGTCAATCGCAGAACAATTAAGAGCCTACATATAGAATCAAATACTTGATCAATCATTGTGAAGAAAGGGAGTGTGCAGACCAGAAAATGAAGCCAAGCATACCCTCTCAGCCTGTGGCGTTATCATGGCTTCACTCGCAAATCTATCGGCAGCTCCGCGATCTATTCCCAAATTTGCAGGTTCCTTGTTCAGACCGTGGTCACCTGCACCGGCTGCCTGTCCAGCGACGCCTTCAGGGGTGTCCTCGCGAGGCTGCTCCTGATCGGTATGCACATCATCACTAGGCCTCAACCTCTTGCCTCTAGGATTGGAAGCTGGCCCTCCTCTTCCTCTTCCTTGGGTAGCGGCGCCACCACCACGCCTTCCGGCTCTTCCCCGTGGAGCCACATTGCCAATCTGATTGCCCAAAAGCTAAGAAACCCAGGTAAACAATCAGATACCGGGAGGAAACTTAATTAGTACTATTAGCGAGAGGAGCACCGATCGAACAGCACATCTAACAACGGTGATCCCGCCATTTTTTCAGCAGTAGCAGCGTCGATGAACAGCAATAGATTATAGAAGCTTGCAACTGTCGCTGACGGAAGAGAAAAAATAAACAAAGGGGAAACCGTCCGTACCCTTTCAGGCAGCCGCGTCATGGCGGCATCGCCTTGTGCAGACTGTGAAGTTCCGTCGGCGGCGCTTTCACCGCCCCGTCTCGAGCGATCAGCAGCCCCGCCGCCGCCCTCGTCGTCGCCAGCTGGCCTGTTCAAATCAAGGTCCGGCCGGGCGGAAACCGAGCCAGGCGGCGCGGCGCCGTCGCCGGGGTCGCGCATGGACGGAAGAATGGCGGCGGCCTCCGACATGGCAGCGTACAGGGTCGGGAGAGAGGGTTTGGTGAGCGGGGAGGCGGAGGATGGTGCCTGGAGGGTGGGATATAGCAGCAGCTGCCGCTGGGTGGCGGGCCGTGGAAGGGCGGTATTGATGGAGGCGTGGAGGGAGCAGGAGCTGCTGCAGGCGGCGGCGAGGGGCAAAAGAGGGGGATGACATGACCGGCGCGCCTTGGAAGTTGTGGACAAGCAATGCCGTCGGGTGGAGTGGAGACAGCAGACAAGGCTTGTATCTGCTGCCGTGTGCGTGCGCAGACCCATCATGGGCCCACCTTTGTATACAAGTGTTTGCATTTACCTGGCAAAAAAAAGTAAAAAAGAAGTACAAGTGTTTAAAGGTGAAATACGCAGTATTTGTTTTTTTAGGGGATATAAATATAGGGCGTTTTGGATCTCGGCCTCCATGAAGGCCGAATTTGTGAAGAATTCAGAATTTGAAAATTTTGGTTTTAGAAAAGACTGAAAAAATTGTACAAGTAAACAAAGGATGTGAGGTGTATGTGTGTAAAATTTCAGGATGAAATACGTTAGAATGTGACCTGTATAAAAAAGACAAATTCATGGTCTGAGAGGATGAATAGTATCATCTGTTAAAATATTTCAGATTTTTTTTTCACAGCTCTCATTTCAACGTATTTCATCTTGAAAATTTACAGCTATGCATTATGCCTTCATGTATATCTGTACTTGTTTTAGAATTTTTTAAAATATGAAAATATGAATTTTAGTTTTTGCATTTGGAGGCCTTCATGGAGCTCGGCCTCCAGAAGCAATTTCTCATATACACAATATTCGTTGGATAGAAAAATAAACAGTAAGGATCATCAACCTGGAAATAGAGTCTTTCTGATCGACCTAAAAATAGACGTATTTTTTCGACTGCTGGGTGGAAAGTTGTCCTCATCCTTGATTAATTTTTTTTAACTTTGTCCTTGAATTCAAGATCTATGCACTCTGACTCGATTCTTCACAATGTCACTGTACATCACCCCAACAAACGGTTCTCGGCTTCCTCCTTCCCCGATGCTACCATCGCAGCAACCACCTCAGATATCGGTGGAGAGGAAGAAAGAATAAATATCGCCGACGAGCAGGAACAATATAAAGATAGATAAAACCTAAGAAATTAGAGAATGACATTAAAAAAAATGGTAACTGACATCAACATGGAAAATACGTTAGAAGACCTATAAACTTTGTGGATCAACATGGAGTAGTACTTAATGTAAGATTTGTGAAGCACCACCAGACAACCTGCTGTACTTCCTTCTGCCGGCGTTGTTTCCGGCAGCAGCAGCGGTTACTTTCAGAGCTACAGTGCATGAACAAAAAGTCAAAAGCCTATCTTTGTAGAGCTAGCATGGGCTCATGGCTACAGGCGGGCATAGACAGGTAAAGAAAATATTGACAAGTGACTACACATTGATATGTATAAGTACCAAGGTTTTTTTTTCTTGTTACCTTGTTCGATAGGGACCGAAATAAGAGTGCGGCGTTTCAGTGCCCGGGTGCATCTGCACCCGTTCAAAAAAAAATTCGTAAAAAATTCAGAAAAATTCAAAAAATTCCGAAAAAAATTGAGGTGGTGGACAATTTGATGCGTGAGGTGCGCCCCAATTTTCAAAACATTTGGACTTATGTGCAGCTCTCAGCAAAAAAGACAAATCAGACCAAAACAGTATATGAACAGTACATATTTTTACAGACCTCCGATTTGTCTTTTTTGCTGAGAGCTGCATATAAGTCCAAATGTTTTGAAAATTAGGGCGCACCTCACGCATCAAATTTTCCACCACCCCAATTTTTTTCGGAATTTTTTGAATTTTTTTAGTATTTATTTTGATTTTTTTGGTGAGCGCAGGTGCAGATGAGCTCGGGCTCAGATTTGGATTTTCGCCGAAATAACCGATTTCCAAAAACTCTCAGCAATTCAGATTTTTTTTGGTCTGAAATATCCAAGATGGCGGTGATGCTGGTACCGTCCCTACATGTTTAGGGTTCCTTTGATTCAAAGGATTTGCATAGGAATTTTGGAGGATTAGAATCCTTAGGAATTTTTTCTATATTGGTTGTTTGATTTATAGGATTGAATCTTATAGAATTTTTTTCTAAGGAATTTTTTGTACTACTTCCTATAGGATTTCTAGCATCCAGTCAAACCTCTTTGAAAGAATCCTTCGTTTTTTCTATGATGCAATCAAACAACCTAAAGCCTCCTTTGGTTCATAGGGTAGGGAAATCATAGGAATAGAAAAGTCATAGGAAATGGGATAACATGCATCTCAAATCCTATGAGTAGGAATAGGAAAGAAGATGTCATTTGATTCATTTCATAGGATTTTTTCCATTGAGACTAGGCTAATGTTTATTTTCTTATGAATTGTGAAGGATAGGAAGAATTCCTTCATAGGAATAGGATTCCATTCCTATAAACCAAAGGACTCTAAAGAAATTTTTCCTAGAAAAATCACATCCTATGAAATTCCTACAAAAATCCTCCAAACCAAAGGAGGCCTAAACTCCTATAGGATTGAGATGAGCATGACATTTCAATCCTATTCTTTTCCTATTCCCATGTTTTTACAATCCTGTGAATCAAAGAGGCCCTTAATGTTGGCAGAACGACACGGCAAATGAAGACCATCCAGAATGAGGTGGGCCTAGGCCCTGGTCGTTGTCCGTGGATATAGGGCATCTCCAACGCTATCACCTAAAATAAACACATTATTCGCCTGCGGACTGTGTATGGACACATAAACGGATACGATATGGGAGCCGGTCATCTAATCTATACCCTAATTATCTGTGTCAAATAACAATAGCCGTCCGCCAAATAGCTAGCACGATCACTAGAGCCATCCTCCAAACAAGCGTGTATGTATTAATATACACTTAAAAAGGAAAAGAGAGCCAAATAGCCTTTCGCCAACCTCAAATAGCCTTCTGCCATGCTAACTAGGGTCTTCCGCCAACACATTCGTGTAATATAAGCACCTAAAAAAGTGAAATAACTATGTGTTTAGTGCTTTCGCCTAGAAGCCTTCCGCCAAACAACAACAAAAATTAGCTGCGGCCTTCCGACATTCGGGCGGAGAAAGAATATGTGGTGAATTTTGATTGGCCAGACGGATGACTGGACTCTCGCAAAGCTTGCTAAGTTTGCTTTTGGTTAGCGCGAAAATGAACGCGCGAACGTGCCCATGGATATATACGGGTCTGTGTTTGATGTCAAAGTGTGTTCAGACAGCTTGGTCCAAACGTTGGCGGGCTATTTGAGGGTTGGCATTGGAGGTACCCTTAGCACTTCATTGAAGATACATGTTAATAAGCCTAAGAAATGAGAGTTCACATATTACCTTCACCCCTCGCATGTTGAACCACTTCCAGTAGCCTTTTTCTCGAGAAAAACTTTCAATCTATTCATCAACTGTCAGTGTAGTACAAAAAACACCAAAAGTAAAAAATTACATCCAGGTCCGTAGACCACCCAGCGACGACTACAAGCAATGGACCGAGCTTAAGGCACGCCGCCGTCATCGCCCCTCCCTCATCAGAGCCGGGCAAACCTTATTGTAATAGAGAGTCGGGAAGTCCTCGTGCTAAGGCCCCATAGGATTAGCGCACCAGGACAGCAACCGCCGCACCAGTAGCCTTTGACGAAATCTATGAAGGTTACTGGATCTAATAAGCAACTTTTATGTTGTCAGCAAGCAATTCGTATACCTTTGACCTGTTTTTCTCTATGATCAAAATATAGGTCACCAAAGTTCCATAGTTGAGCAAGGTCAAATCGATCGTAATTGAACCGCCTGCATGATTTAGCTAGATTGCCAACTAGACAACAGTAACTTCTGATGTTGTATCTAATGGCTGACCAGCCAGAAGAAAAACAAAAAGTTCCGAGTACATGATCTCACTCAAATATAGAGCTAACGGAATTATATTCAATTATTAGATCCAAATCTTCCAACTTAACATGATCAAACCGCTATAATGAAAAGAAAAAAACAATGTGTTACAAATGTTTCTTAGGCAACACCAAGATTGAAGAGGATTAAACTCTCACATACCACAAAGTTTTCGAGGCCATGCACGATGAGGGGCGCAGTAATGCAACAAGATAACCATCTTTATTGCAAAAGGGACAAAATTTCACCTTTTCATTGTTGTCATCCGTAGTACTATAATCTTTCTCTAAATAATCCTATGGACACATACTTTCCCTCCCTTTCCAGTAAAACGAAGGAAATAAAGTACAATTAGCAGATGGTTATTTTTGTAAAAAGCTTGTCTCTCTTAACAGGAGATGATGTTTTATAGAATTTATAAAAATCCTCAAACAGAAATCTCTGTTTTGCAAATTCAATGAAAAAGGGGTGATGCATAATGATCCAAAGGTTTGTTTCTCTCTGATACTTTCGATTTCATAGTTTTTTTACTCGGACAATAAAATCACCAGCATAAGCGGGCTTTATTTCATGTGCCTTATATCTTCTCATCACAAATGAGATGATCAATATATCAAAATATTTTACTATGTTTATTTGACTATTAGGCATCAAACTTCGGTACTTTGTTAATTGTGGCAGAACATGGCCTTTCTTCTAAGAGGAGTATGCCACTCTCATCAATTTTTTTATCTGTGTTGTGCATATATGTGAACAATTCAACGTAACCATCCAAAACAGTCGCCTATATCGCTTCCTTATACATAGACTATTCAAATAAAGTTATGACCCAGGGTAAAATAAAATAAATAGTTTTATTCC